GAAGAGCAGCCAATGTGGCCCAGGGGGGTCCTCTAACCTGCACCCCTTCTCCTGGCCATATTCGTATCTAGAGTGCTATCCGTAAGGACCATGCAAGCATGAACTCTTCCAGCGAGGGCAATGCACCTAAGGGGCACAGACACATGGTCTAGGGCTTAGATTCCCATCTCTCACCCCAGGGCTGACTCCTCATAGTGTCCAGGCTATAAGGAGACTCTCTGCCCCATAGACAAGCTAGCAGAACCCCCCCCCAGGGGCTCTGTGTGTTTAATCCCATATTTAGAAGCTTTAAAGACCTAGTGTCTGCATCTGGAGGCAAAGGCCTTTGTGATGGCCCCTACTCTTGCTGTTAGAGAGAATGGGGAACTATGACTTAGCGATCCAGAGGTAAAGAAACAGAAAGGTGCAAGAGAGTGAGTGATAGAATTGGGGGCGTAAGAAGGGGAAACGGACAGAAGGAAAAGAAAAAAAAAAGAAAAAGGAAGGGACGTTTTCTAGCCCTCCTCGCCTCCTCCATCTCTGAGCCACCCACTTCTCTGGGGCCTCCCTCAACTTTTTCTCAGCAAAAAAGGCTTTCGTGGAAGGCCACTCTGCGGATTTTGAATCTAACCGTGGCAAACAGAGCCTCTAGGACTTTGGCAAACCCCGGGCGCCCTCGCGGTGACCCGGCACCTGTCCACAAGGGGCTTAGAAGGTGCCTCGGGGGGGGGGGGGGGGGGACGCAAGCCCTGAAGCCACCTCTCAACCCCGCAGTGACTGAAAGCCTGCACTCCCCAGCCAGCACTCCGAGGGGTTCAAACCTCTTCCAGTCAGGGCACAGTCTCCCAGGTTCTGAGCTCGCTGCCTAGTGGAGCCCACGTGAGGTGCCCCTCTCCCAGCAGCTGCGGCCCACGCCACTCCAGCCACGGAACCGCAGACTCCAAAGGAGAGTCTTGGCAGTGACCTGTTTCTCACATCTACTCTGGGATCCCAGGTTGCACCGGAAGCCGCTAAAGGCAGCCGTGGGTGTGAAACCAGGCAGGGCCAGCAAAGGATTGCCAGGGACCTTGACCACCGAGAACCGTTTCCTCGGAGAGTCCTAAAGACGTATCCTAACGTAAATTTCCAAAGGAAAACATGTCCTTAAACAACGAACCCCACGAAACAAAAAGCAGCCAATTCCAAAGATCCGAAGAATCTGCAAAGGCACTGTCGGGGAAAATGAATTCCAACCTCCAAGTTCCAGGGAGTCAGAAATGTTTGAAAACGAAAGTCCACACGGACATCGAACTAGCCAAATGAGTTGCTGAGACCGGCTCTCCAACGAAAAAAGCAATTTATATGTAATCTGTGAGTGTGGGGACCGCGTAATTTTATATCCTCGACGGTTTCGTGTATTGAAACCAATCTGATGACCTCTTTCTAGCAAAGTGCAGGGGGGTAGAAGGCAGCCTGCCTACACCACGCATTGTCCTCTAAGTCCACGCATCTGAGGCTGAAGCCGGCCTCCCTGCCGAAGGCCACCGCTCCTACCACCACAGCAAATCTGGGAGTCAAGAGGCAGGCTTAGAGAAAGAAAACACCCGATGAACGAACCCCATTTGAGGTTCTCCAGGGTGTTCCTGGAAAGAACCCAGAGCGCCCTGGGAGTGTGGCGAACTTGGGGAGGCTCAGAGTTTGCTGGGAACTGGGGAAGGGTATCGGAATCCCGTCAGGTGGTTGTCAGTATCCAGAGAAGTAACCATTTTAAGAAACCTCCCTTCCAGCCACTCGCCGTCTCAAACTCATTTTGCTGAGGAAGATACATATTGACTGTAAGTGGAAACGGAGACAAAAAGAAACCTTCGCGGTCCGGGGAGGTTTGGAGGGGAGACCCACTCAGAAGCGCCCTGATGCTGGTCACTGACCTGGCCTTGGGCTGCTCCATCTCATGGTACAGGGTCCCTCCTGTGGGCGCTTGGGAAAGAAACAGCAGCTGGGGATGGTAGGGGTCGCAATCTCACACTCATACTCTGGGGGTTGGCTGTTTCATCGGGTAACCCATTCCTCTCTTCTACCCGCCACAGCCGGCTGAGGCTCTGGGATCCTTCGGGCTCGCAAGTGAGAAAGGGGACGGGTTCTGCTAAGGGCCCCCTCTTGGCGAGGAGATTGCGTCGAGGATCCCCTGCCGCCTGGAGTTCCTATTACCAGGCCACCCGGGAGAGTGGCTGGTCTAGGGCGCTGAGGTCACCTTTTCCACGGTGCCTGCCTCTCCCAGAGCGGCCAGTTTCCGGGATTTTCGCTTAGGCTAAGTAAGGCGGGAGGCCCTGAAGGGTCTCAGGTTTAAAAACGACTCAGAGGCTGCACCTTTAGTGGGGACTACCCTTTTTTCGTGTCTTCCATGTGGAAGGGGGACCCCTTTTCTGGTGATCCCCCCCTTCCAGCCTGCCAATGCAAAATTTCTAAACAAAGAGTCCCTGATGCCATTTCTTCACGTTTTTTTTTTTTTTTTTCGCCTAAAGAGGGTTTATTCTCAGGTTTGCTTAAGGGTCTCTCGGACTTTAGGAATGTACTTAGAAAAGATTGAGCCAGGGGCTCGAGCCTAAAGGGTGTATCAGGACATAGACTGACTTTCAGCCTTTGGTGCCAGGCAAAGCTTTTAGCCCTTGGGGGCCTCATTCCCAGCAGGCACGAATCATTGCCGGCTTTCGGCTGGGCGGCTTGAAACAGCCCTGGCCAGAGTCCAAGGAGCTTTGGGATACGAGGGGGCAGGGGCGGGAGAGGGGCACACCTGTGGGATGGAGTGACGGTGAGTCTGCACACGTCTCTTGACTCTCCGCATCTAGAATTAAGGCCTTCATGTTGAAAATGAGCCCCCTCTGCTCAGCTTGACCTGAAGTGGCTTACTGGAAATAAAAATAGATTTGGTGACTGGGGAATCGACCATGTCTTGGTGTCTCAGACCCCAGATTCCAGGGCCTGGCTGAAACTCGAAGAGGGCACAGAGGGTTCAGAGACGGGAGACTTCAGTCAGGCTCAAAATAAGAGAAGCCAGGGTGAGGGCTGGCTGTGACTGAGCCCCAATAGAAACCACTCTGGGCTATACTTTCAAAGCCCAAGAGGAAGTGGTCGGGCCTGATGATTAGCCATCTAGGGATGGGCAGAGTGGAGACAGAGGAGGCAGGTGGAAGGGGCCTTCATTCTGGTATGGACTGGAGACCATAGAAAGCCATTTTTACTCCCTGGAGTGCCTGGGCCAGGACTTGGACTCAGTAGTCCTAGAAAGTAAGTAGTTGGACTCCCCATCCAGACTGGGGAACCATCTCGAATTCTGTGTCCGGAATCGACGCTGACTGTCCTGTGTCCAGTGAGAAGTAAGGTCAATTGAGTCAAGAGAAGTGGGCAAACCCTTGCCACTCCGTTTCGGAGAGGCCTGCAAAGGGCACAGAAGTCCCAAACAGCTCTAAAACAGTTATTTTGGCTAGCGGATCATCCCCTCTGCTCAGAAAGTCACCAAACGATTAGCTGAGCTGTGGCAATGAGCTTTTGGGGTCAAGTGTTTGTTCTTTGTCCCCTTCCCAGCCCTCGTGAAGAATGGATGTTAGCCATCTCTTACTGTCTCAGAGACCCCCACTCCCCTACCCCCCACCCCCGTCAGCAGGTGGAAGAAGTGATTTCAAGTTGGAAAGGAGTTGAGATGTGGGTGTGGTGAACTCAATTTCCCAAAGGTGAGGACTCTGGCTCTGCAGAGACCTCACATTGGAAGTAGGAGTGGCCTAAGACGTGGAGTCTAGTCCAGGAGGCACTGTCTAGTTAGAGTGGACACAAAGGAGACAGCACCCAAGTCTCCAGAGCTGGGCAAATGGGAAGTGCAGTAACGCCTCTTCAACCTCCAGGGGGATACCCTACCCTTTTTGTTACCTTTGAGCAACCTGTATAGCACGCCACCCTTCTGTCCTCTCTGCCATTCGTGTCCTCACACCTTCAAACCCACAAACCTCCTGGAGCCAACTGTCAGTTTCTCCTCCAGGCAGGAGATGGCTCAGAAAGTAGCAATGCCAAGAGCCAAGGGCATAAACTCAACAAGAGTTTAGCTTGAGGATTGGTGTGCTAAGGAAAAGGAGAAAGATGGGAAAGCTTCATCCTTAGTTCTGTGAGAGAGTGGACCCCAAACTCTGAGAGCTCCCCGGAATCCCCACCCCCCCAAATCCATACAGTAACAAGTTCCTCCAAACTAAGAACAGGTGAAGCATTGTGCTGTCTCTTGTTTTATTCGAGGAAACATAGCTCAGCGCACTGAGTCTAGTGGTTGCCAAGGAAAATGTGTCCAGGTATGCTTAAATTCGAAATTGGGGAATGCTCCCCTCCGCATCTTCCAGGGAGTTGAGACCAGAATGTTAAACTGAGGTTGAGGCAGACAGTGAAGGGTGGTGGCACAGAAGTGTATTGGCCACTTCTGTGTACAGCTACACCGCATCCCTTTAGTATCCCCCAGTCCTGGGGAGGCTGCTTAGGGCTAGCCCTTTCCCTGATGAGCTGCAAGGCTTTTGCTCCTCCCACTCCTGACCTCTCCAGCCCCTCCCCATCCCACTCAGTCCGCGACCTTGCGGTTGCGCCCTCCCGCACCTCGGGCTCTCTCTCCTCTCTAGGTTCCAGCGCGCTCACGTCCAGGTGGCGTCTTGAACACCTTCACCGCACTGCATGGTATCCTGCCAGCTCCTTGATGTCTGTCACCGGAATCCTTCTCACCTCTCGCTCATGATCCCTGATTCGCCCAAGTCCGCAGTGTCCTGTCCCCGAAGCAGTCCTCTTGGGCGTGCGCTGCGCTCTTCCTCCCTTGGTACCGGCACGCCAGCCCTCAGGGTTCTTTCCCTTCAAACCTCCTTTCCTCCCTCCTGGCTCCCTCCCTCCGGCGCGGCCTAGGGGGTGGGGGTGGGGGCGGTGGCGCGGGGAGGGGCGGGGCAGGACGGGCGGGGCGAGGCGGTGACGCGGGGGCTGGCCGGGCTAGAGGCGCGGCGGCGCGGGGCGGGGGCGCAGTCCCGGGTCCGACTGGACGAACCCATCGCGCCCCGCCCGCGCCCTGCGCCTCCGCCCGGCCAGCCGGCGGGGGAGGGGGCATGAGCCGGCGCCCGCGCGCCGCCGGGAGCTGCGGGCGGGCCTAGAGCCCCGCGCGGGCCCCGCGCCCGAGCCTAGCCTCCGTCGCTACAGAGCCGCGGGTGCATCCGCGGGAGCCGCGATGCAGCGGCCCGGGGAGCCGGGCGCCGCGCGCTTCGGTCCGCCCGAGGGCTGTGCTGACCATCGGCCGCACCGCTACCGCAGCTTCATGATCGAAGAGATCCTCACCGAGCCGCCCGGGCCCAAGGGCGCAGCGCCTGCGGCCGCCGCTGCCGCCGCGGGCGAGCTGCTTAAGTTTGGCGTGCAGGCGTTGCTGGCCGCGCGGCCCTTTCACAGCCACCTGGGTACGTGCGGAGGGACTGGGCTTGACGGGAGGGTGGGAGTCGAGCCACCAGAATCCATCCTCCTTCTCCCCTCTGTTCCCGGAGCGACCTGGGATGCAGGCCCCAGGCGCATCTCTTCACATACTCCAACTGGGAAGTAGAGGGTACGGGCAATGGGCTGTGCAGAAATCAGGCCATAAGTCCACAGGCCGGGCTAAAAAAAGAGTTTTGCCCTCTGCTTCAGGGCAGCTTCGAGTTTTCCAATCGGATGATAGGCCAGGGACTGGAGTCCGCATCCCTATCAGTAGCAAAATTAGCCAACCGATCGCTCTGGATCGAAATGACTTCAGTCTAGGGAAGCGTGAGTGTCGCGGTAGAGAGTTGACTGGGCATGGCAGTAGCTGCCCAGACTGGGAAAGCTGAGCCCTCTGGAGAAGAGGGTTTTGTCTCCCAGTGCTGGGTGTTGACGGTGGCCCATGCCATCCTGGAGCCTCCCGGAGCCTCCCAGAGCCCGCGAAAAACCAAGGCCTCTGCTGCCGCCAGGATCTCCCTGGGCCTTGTGGAGGGAAAGAGGCCTGGTTGTGAGCCGCTGCCTGGATGGCCCTTCCACTCCCAGGCCAGCTGGGCTTCCAAACATCTTGAATCATTGGTTCAGACCTTTTCTGTCTTGGTCTTGTCTCTTGGGGAATTGTGGAGCAGCCTGTCCTGTTCTGCCTGCCTTCTCCATCTGGGCACAGGGCTTGTACAAACTCTCTATGGTTGATCTCCATCACCTCCGTCTTTTGGTGGAGTTGATCTGTCTCCTCTCTACCCGCTTCCTCCTAAGATTCTCTTCCCTTACTGTCCTCCCTATGCATACCTCTCCCCCTGATGGGTCCCTTGCTCGGACTCACTCCTTTACGAGAAGCCTACCAGGAAATGAAGCCTCCTACAGACTCCAGCTCAGCTAGTGGAATTCGGGATGAGCACCAGCCCCTTTTTTTGTGCTGGTGACAGTAGATCCAGCTTGCCTGTCTTCTGTGGTTCATCTGGTTCACAGCCTCTCCTCTGCCTTTCACTATCAACGGTTCTTTCTATTGTTGATAATTCGTTTGAAGCGGGCAAATAGCCGGTTTAGGACTAGAGAACATGGAAGATTTTCACAGAGAAAACAAGAAAGACAATTTCCGGGTTCAAAGGATGCTTTGGAGACCCTGGAGCCCTCAGTCCGCGTCGATGTAAATTGCAGCACAGTGCCCCCAAAAGCAAATGCTCACATTCCTACCGCATTCCCCCCTCCCCAACGCAAAGCTCCCTTCCCGATTTCACCCGGTTTTTCTTTTTCTTGGTTTCTTTTTTTTCACAAAAGACACATTCTATGCCCTCCAAGCAACGAACTTGCTCTTAAGAACCTGGAGATCTCAATGGCAGCTGGGGCATGGGAACGCCAGAGCAGAGCGGGGGAGGTGGGGGTGGGAAGGATACTCTGACCTAGACTTCTCGGGACACCCACGTCAAGGAGGGTCTCCCAGGACAAATGGGTTAAGTTCTTGTGCTCCTCAGGGGGTGGTGAATTCAGACTAAGCTCAGGCACCCAGAAGGACTCTGAGGCTCCTGGAGGCTCCTCCGACTCCAGCTCACGGCTCCTTTCTTTTCTCCCCCTGCAGCAGTGCTGAAGGCTGAGCAGGCCGCCGTGTTCAAGTTCCCACTGGCACCGCTGGGCTGTTCCGGGCTGGGCTCGGCCTTGCTGGCCGCGGGGCCTGGGATTCCCGGCACCGCAGGCGCCTCGCACCTGCCGCTGGAGCTGCAACTCCGTGGGAAGCTGGAGGCAGCGGGCTCTGGGGAACCGGGCACAAAAGCCAAGAAAGGACGCCGGAGCCGTACAGTGTTCACCGAGCTGCAGCTGATGGGGCTGGAGAAACGCTTCGAGAAACAGAAGTATCTCTCCACTCCTGACAGGTAGTGTCGGTTGAGGCTGGGTTCAGCGGGCAGTAGGCCGGTGGTCGCCTGACCCGCTAAGAGTGTGCGTTGCTCTTTCCAGAATAGATCTAGCTGAGTCCCTGGGCCTGAGCCAATTGCAGGTGAAGACTTGGTATCAAAACCGGAGGATGAAGTGGAAGAAAATAGTGAGTGTGGCTTGTTGCTTCCTGTGTCCCAGGGTTTCCTGGGCACTGTCCCCGTGTCCTCCAAGGACTCCCTCTTCCTCCTCACACCATCACTGAACCCAGTGCACTCTGCTCTTTCTGTTTGGGTTCACTACGGAGCTGATATTCCCTCCCACCCCACGCATCCTTGGCGGCCTGTAACTCCTCCACCTTGGGTTCACTGTCCCCAGAAGCACTTTAACTTTAGGGCTTGGAGTCAGTCGTTAGTGGCGCCTTGGTCGGATCCTCCGGTCCCACCTGGGCCCTGAGCATCAGACCGTCCTTGATCTGATTCACACCTCACCCTAGTACTGTTCATTCTCGGGACAGGTTCTGCAGGGTGGAGGCCTGGAGTCCCCTACCAAGCCCAAGGGGCGGCCCAAGAAGAACTCCATCCCCACCAGCGAGCAGCTCACGGAGCAGGAGCGCGCCAAGGAGGCAGAGAAGCCAGCAGAGATGCCAGGCGAGCCCAGCGACCGGAACTGCGAGGACTGAGCTCCGCCGGCGGTGCGGCGCCGTCGGCGGGAACCCAGGAGCTGGCCCTTCCGTGCCCATGCCGTTTGCTTTCTAAACATTTCATTACTATTTTGAATATGGACAATTAGAGGCCAAACAAGGAAGGACAAGGACGCAAGCCTGGAAGCCAAGCCCAGGTCTCAGCGAGCGCCTTGTCTGGGAGAATCGCGTCCCGTGTGACGGAAGGAAGCTTCTGGTCTTTCTCGGAGCTCCACGGTGCCCGGCGCTCCACGCGCATTCACGCCCCGCTCCTTGCCCACACCTTTCCCCGGCCTCCAGTCGGCCTTCTGGGCCCGGACACCGGCAGGCACACACCCGCTTCCGCGCCTTGGGGACCGAGCCTCGGGGTGCAGGCCTCTACGGTCCTGTCCTGCAGAGTTGGCTCCTGAAAGACCTGGCAAGTCAGCCGATGCCCGGTCCCGATGTCGCTGGGGTTTCTACCCTCCTCTCGCGAAGAGACGGTGACTTTTTTTTCCAATAAAATATTTTATGACACAGCGGGGGGTTTGATGGTGGGCTTCCTAGTCCTCGAGGGATGGAGGGGTCTGCGAAGGATGGAGGGGTGGTGGGGTAGGGAGGGCACTCGAAATCGGAACTTTCTTCCCTCAATGGAGGCCCAAGTACTGCATCGATTAGGTTACTTCAGAATAAACACTGGGTGTGAGGGACCAGGATGGACTCTTCCTTTCCAGCTGTGTGGGGGTGGGGGGATCACCATCAGTGATAGCAGTAGGCCACTAGTCCTGAAGTGTCCCGGAGCCCTGAGCCATTTAAGCTGTTGATTATATCTCCTGGGACTTGACCTCTGTGGTCCTTAAGATGTTCCTGGCCAGCTCTTTTGAGGTGAATGGGAAGCCCAGTGTGTCTTAGGCGGTCCTATTGAGGGGCATAACCTGGCAGGGAACGTCCACTGGTGCCTCTCCCAACCAAAAAAAAAAAAAAAAAAAAAAAAAAAAAAGTCTCAGTGATTTGTCCTTGGGGAGGGGAGTTTGATCATATAAAGTTCAGTCTTTATGATTGGGGGTCACAGTGAATGGGAATGTAGCTAAATCTCAGAAAGGTGACACAACTTGATCATGCAGTTCCAGATACACTAGCATGCAAAGCCAGGTCGTCTCAGGGTTCCAAATCCTGGTGGGTTTTGTGATATGGTCTTGTTTTTTGTTTTGGTGGTGGCTGGCTGTTTTAAAAGGGGAACCCACACTGTACCCTCACTATCCTGGAACTTTCTATGCTGACTAGGCAGGCCTCGAACGCACAGAGACTAACCTGTATCTGACTTCCAAATGCTGACATCCAAAACATTCATACCATACATGGCAAGTTTAAGAATATGACAGTCACCCGTGTTGGTGACTCCTCTTTATTTTCAAAATTTTGTATTTTCAAGTGTCTGTGTGTCATTGGGGGTGTGGTATGTGCACCTGAGCACAGTTGCAGGCCAAGGACATCCTGAGGTGTCAGATTCCCTTGGAGCTGGAGTTGGGGCAGTTGTAAGCCCAGGGATATGGGTGCTGGAAAGCAGAACTGGGGTCTCCTGCCAGGACAGAATTCACGATCTTAACTGCTGGGTTGTTTCTCCAGCTCCAGGCTTTGCATTTCTGACTAGGTGGTCCCTTCCTAGAACCCAGTTTGAATTTCTCCCAGGGATTTTCAGCCTTGGGGGGTGGGGCTGGAGAAACTAGAACCCACATTTGTAAGGGCTTTGCAAGAGATTTTCTTCAGCACACTAGTCATGCTAGGTAGGTCTTTGAGAGATTGTCTTCTCTGGCTCCGAGGTCTTAATTCAGCCTCGCCAACCAACAGCTGTGAAAGAAGAAAGCCTGTAACCCTGGCTGCCTGGAAGGAACGAACCCCCCCCCCCACCGTGTGTGTGTGTGTGTGTGTGTGTGTGTGTGTGTGAGAGAGAGAGAGAGGGGGGGGGAGCTGCCTGCATCCCTCTAATTCCTTCCTGCCCCTGAAGTTACCCCCAGGTCAGCGCAGCCTAGCTAAGCTATTAGGAAATGTTCTTGCAGCAGGCCCTACTAGTCATTTAGACTAATCCTTACAGTTCAAAGAAAAGGTCTGAGTTCGGGTTCCAGCTTTTTGTCAATCAATTATGCCAAATTGTGAAAAGGTAGAAACCACTGGGGTGCTCACAGAGGGATACAGAGGCTTCTAACTTAACAGGTTTCCGTAGGACCCCCTCGTTTTGCTAAATTTGAAGAACCCAATCTCATGTAAATTACTTGCTAAGTGTATCTAAGGCTTCCCAGGGCAGCCCCTTACTGCCTTGCCCCAGGGTTGTTACTGGTCGCACGCACAGCACAAGGGCTTCCGGCACAGATGGGGACCCTGACTCCAGATCTCCAGTTATCAGTGGGGCATTGGAAGCATGCAGGGTCTCAAAAGGCGGTTCTTTATCCTGGTGCAGAATGAGGTGGTTTTGTTGGTGTCTGCGCGGTGGAGTTCCTGGCATAGATCAGCATCAGGTAATACAAACAGAGCCACCCAGCCAGGGAAGAGAGAAAGGAATGCCTTTTCTTTGGCGGGCAAATCCGCTTAGAGAGTACCTGAGACTCGACGGAAACTTCCAGGCAGGTGGCTCCCGGAGGAGCGGAGTCTCCATTTAACCACCGGAGCCCTAAGGCACAGGCTTGTGGGCCACTCGCTTAGGCCCCCAGCCCTGAGACCCCCTCCCTGTCTCCATCGACCACGCCCCTCACTCCAGGCGTGCGATTTGGGGGAAGGGAAGGTCCCCTTTCATTTCTCCTGGACCCTTGCCACACAAGTCTCTTTTTGGCCCCCAAGGTCCTGGGAAACAAACCTCCGAGACGTCGCGGGCGGCCGTGGTCCCGGCGGTGCTTTGCGGAGCCTCCAGCCGAAGGCTGCGGGAGGAAGCAGGCTCTGGTGCCCCGGGTTAGCGGTGGGCCTGGGGCAGCGAGGACCTGAGGGACCCGGGGGAAGGAAGGGCAGCCCACCGTAGGAGCGCTGGAAACCCGGCGCCCGCTGCGCACGCGGACACTCTCGGTTTGCGCTTTCCGCTCCGAGTTGGTGGCGGCTGAGCAGTGAGCCGGAATCCAGGACGAGTTGGTGGCAGAGCTCCGCTTCCCGGGGTCCTCAGATCTACACGCCGCCGGTGCCGGGAGTCGGGCTCCCTGCTGGGAAAGCTGCCTTTGGGGCTTAGTGAAGGCCCTTCGCAGAGGACTGGGGTTCCTACTTGGCCTCGGAGACTCTGCCCTATGGCTGGCCGCGCACACCGCCCGGGTCACCGCCAGCATGGTCTCTGCCGCGAGCCCGGTTCCATGCCGGTGCCCCACTTTCCCCAAACAAATAAGAAAGGTCGCTATCTTCCCTTCCTTGCTCTTGATCTCTTGAAGAGTCGTCGGTCGGAACTTACAAAGTGGAAGAAGGAAACACATGCACGGTGTGGTTAATCACGACAGAGTTTAAGGTCTCTTGAAATGAGAGGTCGCAACTCAGAGCACCTATGGGGAAACCGAGGACCAGAACCGACACAGTGGCGGGTGGCTGAAAGGCTGGTCTCTGTTTTGCTATGTCCTGGCAACTCTAGGGTTCCAGAAGAAATCAGACGCGTTCTCTGTTTATCAGAGTCCCGTGGCCTGGTTTCGTTTCATGTCCTTATTTTGTTTCTACATCCTGGGAAACCCAACCTAGGGTCAGCAAGGGAGAAGAAACTCAGGAGTCAAGCCTGCTGCTAAATCCTGCCTAGGCCACGAGCTCCTGAGAAGCCAACTAGTTGGAATCTCAGATCTGCCTGGCCTCCAGGAAGCAAGTGAAGGAGCTGGGACACCTCACTCACTGTTGAGCACCCTGGGCTCCTAATACCCGGAGGGGCGGTAGGTGGGCCCTGGGCTGGCACTTGACCTTGTTGTTGTCAAGGGCAAGGCCTTCCCTCTTGGATACTTCCTACTTCAGAAAGGGAACCCACATATAAGACATCAAAGGCTCCCAGTGCCCCCACAACAACCTCTAGTTGGGGCTTTCTCTTGGGAGGCCAGAATTGATTGTGGTATCTCTTGGCTAGGGGGCATCACCCAGGACAGGGACCATGTGGAGCAGATCTGAGGGAGCCAAGATTACCTCAGCCAAGAGGCAGAAAAGCTAAACTAGTATGGAAAAGGGCCAAGGCCACCAGAGGCGACCCAGGAGAACGTTTTAGCTGATGAGCCTCTCTCTCCCTTTCTTAAGTTTTTAGTGTGAGTGTGTGTCTGTTGTGTATATGTGTGTGTGTATGAATGTGTGTATATGTGAGTGTGTGTGTGTGTGGTGTGAGTACATGAGTGTGTGTATGAATGTATGCATATGTGTGATTATGTGTGTGGTGTGTGTGTGAGTGAGTGTGTGTACGTATCTGTGAGTGTGTGTGTGAGTGTGTGAGTATGTGTGTGGTGTGTGTGTGTGGTGTGAGTGTGTATGTGTGTGTGGTATGAGTGTGTGTGTGGTGTGCCGAGGATCAAGTCCATGCCTCCTGGATGCTGAACAATTGCTCTCCCACTGAGTAACATTCCCAGGCTCCTCTGTTACTTTTCAAATGTAAACCCAAGAATGATTTGTAATAAAAATCTATGTCCTAATGATGCTGGAAGAGATCCTTGAGTAAGCAGAGAATAAAATTCCCAGGTGGTGGGAAAGCAATGGGCTGTAGCTTCATTGGTAATGTTCAGATTTTATCCCCCTTAGCACTTCAGGAAGTGATCATGTGACATCATGGCACCTCAAACTCTTTACATGGTCAGCCCTGCTTCCTTTCCTCCTTTCAGAATATTTATGTATGTATGCATATGTACATGTGTGCAAGTATGCACACATATATGTGTGCATGTGTGTGAAGGCCAGAGGTCAGCCTCAGATATCATTCTTCAGGAGCTGTTCTCCTTGTTTTTTGTTTGTTTGTTTGTTTTTTCTTTTACAAGACAGGATTACTCCATGTAATTTTAGAGCCTATCCTGGAATTTGCTCTGTAGACCAGGCTGGACTCGA